TCTCTGTATACAACTCCTACTGATTTCAAGAGCGGTTGTCTGCTGATGTTTTGCAGGACCAGGCCTTTAAAGACCATGAGTTAAATTTTGACCCACCTCATGTTGATAAGAGCTTTTCCACTTCAATGGGGCCAGGATTTCAACTTATATGTTTAGCTCTGGCCCCTAAACCAATGGAAACTTTGTAATTTTAGTTTATCTGGTGTGAAGATGATGCAAGTTAATAATTTTACTTGATATTCTCTATTAGGGTCAACAATGGCGCATGAAAATCTGTATAATTTCCATCTAAACAATTACAAAGTATCACTACAGAATATTTCTACAGAAAAAGAAGCTATTGTAAAATAATAATCTCTACAAGGAAACATTTCTTCTGAATTATAGAATCATAGAAGATTAGGGTTTGAAGAGACAACAGGAGGTCATCTAGTCCAACCTCCTGTTCAAAGCAGGACCAACCCCAACTAAATCATCCCAGCCAGGGCTTTGTCAAACCAGGCCTTAAAAACCTCTGGGGATGAAGCATTCCAGTGCTTCACCATCCTCCTAGTGAAATATTTTTTTCCTAATATCCAGCCTAGACCTCCTCCACTGCAACTTTAGACCATTGCTCCTTGTTCTGTCATCTGCCACCACTGACAACAGCTTAGCTCCATCCTTTTTGGAACCCCTCTTCAGGTAGTTGAAGACTGCTATCAAATTCCCCCTCACTCTTCTCTTCTGCACACTAAATAAGTCCAGTTCCCTCAGCCTTTCCTCATAAGCCATGTGTTCCAGCCCCCTACCCATTTTCGTTGCCCTCTGCTGGACTCTCTCCAATTTGTCCACATCCTTTCTGTAGTGGGGGGCCCAAAACTGGATGCAATATTCCGGATGTGGCCCTACCAGTGCTGAATAGAGGGGAATAATCACTTCCCTTGATCTGCTGGCAATGCTCCTACTAATGCAGCCCAATATGATTTTAGCCTTCTTGGCAACAGGGGCACACTGTTGACTCATATCCAGCTTCTTGTCCACTGTAACCCCCATGTCCTTTTCTGCAGAACTGCCGGTTAGCCATTGGTAAGCAGCCTGTAGCAATGCACGGAAGCCTGTAGCACTTCCGTCCTAAGGGCAGGACTCTGCACTTGTCCTTGTCGAACCTCAGGTGATTTCTTTTGAGCCAATCCTCCAATTTGTTTGGGTGACTCTGAACCCTATCCCCCACCTCCAGCATATCAACCTCTCCCCCCAGATTCGTGTCATCAACGAGCTTGCTGAGGGTGCAGTCCATCATCCAGATCATTAATTAAGATGTTGAACAAAACCAGCACCAGGACCAACCCCAATGGCACCCCGCTTGATACCGGCTGCCAATTAGACATTGAGCCGTTGGTCACTACCCATTGAGCCTGAGGATCTAGCCAGTTTTCTATCCTCCTTATAGTCCATTCATCCAATCCATATTTCTTTAACTTGCTGACAAGAATACCGTGAGAGACCATATCAAAAGCTTTGCTAAAGTCAAGGTATATCACATCCACCACTTTCCCCATATCCACAGAGCTAGTTATCTCTTCATAGAAGGCAATCAGGTTGGTCAGGCATGACTTGCCCTTGGTGAATCCATGTTGACTGTTCATGATCACCTTCCTCTCCTCCAAGTGCTTCAAAATGGATTTCTTCAGGACCTGCTTCATGATTTTTTCCAGGGACTGAGGTGAGGCTGACCAGTTTGTAGTTCCCCAGATTCTCCTTCTTCCCTTTTTTAAAGATGGACACTATATTTGCCTTTTTCCAATTGTCCAGGACATCCCCCGATCATGATGAGTTTTCAAAGATAATTGCCAATCGCTCTGTAATCACATCAGCCAACTCCCTCAGCACCCTGGGATGCATTGCATCCGGCCCATGGATTTGTGAATGTCCAGCTTTTCTAAATAGGCCTTAACCTGTTCTTCCACCACTGAGGGCTGCTCCCCTTCTCCCCATACTGTGCTGCCCAGTGCAGCAGTCTGAGACCTGACCTTGTCTGTGAAGACTGAGGCAAAATAAAGCATTGAGTAGTTCCGTTTTTCCACATCATCTGTCACTAGGTTGCCTCCCTCATTCAGTAACTTCACACTTTCCCTGACTTCTTTCCATTTTCTTTCTACTTTCTTCTTGTTGCTAGCATACCTGTAGAAACCTTTCTTGTTACCCTGCACAATTCTTGCTAGCTGCAACTCCAATTTCGATTTGGCCTTCCTGATTACACCCCTGCATGCTCGAGCAATATTTTTATACTCCCCCCTAGTCATCTGTCCAAGTTTTCACTTCTTGTAAACTTCCTTTTTGTGTTTAAGCTCACCGAAGATTTCTGTTAAGCCAAGCTGGATGCCTGCCATATTTGCTATTCTTTCTGCACATTGGGATGGTTTGTTCCTGCACCCTCAATAAGTCTTCTTTAAAATACAGCCAGCTCTTCTGGACTCCTTTCCCCCTCATATTAGCCTTCCAGCGGATCCTGTCCATCAGTTCCCTGAGGGAGTCAAAGTCTGCTTTTCTGAAGTCCAGGGTCTGTATTCAGCTGCTGTCCTTTCTTCCTTTTGTCAGGATCCTGAATTCTTTAGGATCAGTTCCCTAGGAAGTTTTTAATGGATGTTTTAAAAGGAATTCCATTGAAAATACCTATGTATGAAAGATATAATTATAGTAATTTTCTCCCTCTCCTTAGAGAAAGACAGGGACTGTACAAATTGATATGAAGAGATAGGAGCTGTTTTATCTTTCCATGTGGTGGAAGTCGATACAATAAACACAATCATTATACCTAAGTTGAATTACTTGCTAAATATATTACCCTTGATACCGGGATATTTTATCACAATATTTAATTAAGCGTGTATGGATTTCTTCCAAGAATGGCCAAAAAATCCCAAACTAAACAAACAAAACAAAAACCTCGTAGTGAGCTTTCAAGCTGCCCATTCAATGATTGTATAGGCCTCCTTCTGTTGGGTTAGACCCTGCAATGGCATTCTAAAAAAAAAATGAATGCTGGGCACCATCTGGAGTGAAGTTTGCTGAACCAATCCTTAATGATCATGAAAAAACCTAGCATGTAGGGGAGGAGTAAAAGGTAATATCAGCCTTATCGTTCAAAATAGCAAATATCTTTGAGAGCTGGTTGATAGAGTAACCCATTCTAGTTTCAGAATTCCCCTATTTCAATGAATCCCCTTCTTCATACTGCCAAATCTTTCTTTTAGCAGCATGGTATTTCTTGTAGTAATTCTTTTTCTTGTGACTGTCATAGGCAATATTGATCTTAATAGGATTTGGGTTCTCAATGATTTATTTCTTAGACAAACTCATAGTTCCATTGAAGTTCCTTAATAGGCTACAATAAGATTTTTAGTAGCTCCTGCCCTATGCACCAAGAAAGCTTCAGTTGAAAGAGATTCTATAATTCTCTTGTAAAAGAGCTGCCCATCTTACCTATAATTTTACCTGAGTGGAATGTACTTAATGGTTTTGTTCTCACAAGCAAGGAGGCAGCTAAATTAAGAATTAGTCAGATATTTTGCAGAAAAACCTTCAGACAATCTCAGTCCCAGCCATAGTATTAGTATAACTTTAAGAACAGTCCCATACACCAGCATATCAGGATCGTTTACTGTAATTTAATGCAAAGTGCTATAGGAGTATTCAAGTGTTCTCGAGATGTGGAGAAGAAAGACAGAATTATGCTCATGGCTGCCTATAATGGTCCCTTTCTGAAGGGTGGTACTGGAAGAATTGCATTGACCTAGTGGATTAGCACAGATTAGTTTTTGGTTACTTGGGTTACTTAGTACTTACATTCCCAAATGAGAAACAAAATGTTTCTCAATGGAACCAACAATAATAGCCAAGGGACAAAATCTAGGCACAGTGTGGAGCCCTAATGCACTGGGGAGATACATATGAAGATACATATGGATAGACCTATGCTCTTTGTTTGAACCAAAATGTACTC